AAGTTATAAAAATCCGAAAAAAAACACCACGCTAGAAAAAATGGCGCAGCACACATGGCAGCAGTGTGCGCTGCTAGAAACAGGCCGGGAAGAGTTCAAGCTCTGGCTGCCAGCCAGGCTCCAAGCAGCTGGCTTGGCACCACTGCTACCCTGGGAGGCCCCCAGGATCTCAGGTAAGACTGCTGGGGCTAGTACAGGTGCTGACTCCAGCCTCCCCTAAGCCCACTTGGGTCCCTTTGCCATGCACCAGAATGTGCATGCAGGGGTGTGCTCACGGCCAAATAGCAGCGGCACAAATATGTGCCGCTGCTATTTGTCCCACGGGAAATGTGTGCCCCTGCATGTGCAGACTCGTGGGAATGCACCCATCAAGTTTATGAGATCTTGGGCTAGGAAGTTAGGACCAAAAGACAATACGTTATCTTGACTTATACTGACAGTTTGATAAAAGGTATATTTACTAATCTATAGGTATAATAAGAATACCTAACTCTTACACAGCAGTTTTCATAAGGAGTTCTCATAGCAACGAACAGCAGAGGCACCCCCTTTTACAACTGATAACAACAGATATTAAAGTAAAAATTTTCCCACTAATTTTAGGTGCCTGCTTTGAACATTTCCTACTGGAGTTTCTGCAGTACCGGTACAGCTGCCTGAAAATTGAACTGTCAATCCCATGGGCAATTCTGAGTATGTATGATTTTGTTTTGCCCTAAAACAGGATAAAATCTTGTATCTTGGAATTTTCTTTTGAAGTGTAAGAATATTTCAATTCAGGATCATGCCACGGTCTCCATCGATTTCTGGTTTCCCTATTTCTAAGTGCTGTTTAATAGCAAAGGAAATCCACTGATAATAGGAGGAAGGCAGGGGAGGGAACTCCCTTCCCTCAAAATATGGGAGTAAGGAATGAGATCAACAGAGCTAATGACAGGAGGGAACCCACAAGATGTGTTGTTAAGAAGCTGGAGACCTGAAATGATGGGGGCTGAGTAGGCAAACTGCCAGATAGCGATACAGACTTCTGTCAGAGTCCTACATGGTAAAAACTACAAGGATTCCATCAGATTTTTATTAAAATCAGTAAGTTTCTATGGCACTTTCTGATTCAGTAAATCCTCATTTTTGGACAGAAAATCCTTTTCGATCAGTTCCAATGCACAGCACTCATTAGCTCCCAGCTGCCTATTCCTTCACACTTCTGCAGCTGGGATCATAGAATCATATAAAATTAGGGTCAGAAGGGACCTCAGGAGGTCACCTAGTTCAACCCCCTCCTCAAAGCAGTGTCACCCACAATGAGATCATCCCTGCCAAAGCTTGTCTAGCCAGGTCTTAAAAACCTCCAAGGATGGAGATTCCACAGTGTCTCTGGGTAACCTGTTCCAGTGTTTGAATACCCTCATAGTGAGAAAATTCTTCCTAATATCTAACCTAAACTTCCCGTGCTCCAAATCTGAGTCCCTTGCTCCTTGTTCTGTCATCTGCCACCACTGAGAACAGTCAAGCTCCATCCTCTTTCGAACCCTACTTCAGATAGTCGAAAGGTGCTATTAAGTCTTCTCAGTCTTCTCTGCACCAGACTAAATACACCCACTTCCTTCAGCCTCTCCTCACAAGTCATGTGCCCCAGTCCCCTCACCATTTTCATTGCCCTCTTCTGGACTCTCTCCAATTTGTCCACATCCTTTCTGTATTGGGGGTCCAAGACTGAACACAGTACTCCAGATGTGGCCTCAGCAGTGCTGAATAGAGGGGAATACTCACTTCCCCTGACCTGCTGGTAACACACCTACCACTGCAGCCCAGTATGCCATACGCCTTCTTCACAACAGTTGCACACTGCTGGCTCACATTCAGTTTCTTGTCCACTGTAACCCCCCCAGGACCTTTTCTGCAGAGCTGCTGCCCAGCCAGTCATCCCCCAGCCTGTCCTGGTGCATGGGATTGTTCTGTCCTCAGTGCGGGACAGAACAATACTTCCTTAGCTTGCCTGTGAGAATGTAGTGGAAGATCATATCAAAAGCCTTGCTAAAACCAAGGTATACCACATCCATTGGTCTCGCCACATCCACAGAGCCAGTCACTTAGTCCTAGAAGGCAATCAGGTTGGTCAGCCATGACTTGTCTTTGGTGAATCCATGCTTACTGTTCCTAATCACCTTCTTCTCCAAGTGCTTATAAGTGGATTTCTTGAGGATCTGCTCCACAATTTTTCCAGGGACTGAAAGGTTTTTTCCAGGGAAAGAGTTTTCCTTTTCTTAAATATGGGCACTGTGTTTGCCCCTTTCCAGCCATTCGGGACCACTCCTGATCACCATAAATTTTCAAAGATGATGGCCAGTAGATCTGAAATCTCATCAGCCAACTCCCTGAGCACCCTTGGGTACATCCCATCCAGCCTGTTGAACTGGCACATGTCCAGCTTTTCTAAATAGTCCCTACCTGTTCTTTCACCACTGTTGGCTGCTCGCCTTCTATCCAAATTCTGCTCCCTGGTGCAGTAGTTTGGGAGGTGACCTTGCCTGTGAAGACTGAGGTGAAAAAGGCATCCCAGGGTTTCAAGTCAGGCATAGAGAAGACGAGGAACCCCAACTTTGTCATCCTCTGTAAAATTCTGGACTTGACCAGCATGGGAACTATGTGGAGAATCCCATTCTGCAGGACAGAATTGAACTGTCATGGGAGAGTGAGGAGAAAACAATCTTCCCATCCTGCAACAATTTTCTACATTTTGAAGAACACAAGACTTTTGGAGGTTTTTCATGGAAAGCCACAGGGAGCCCACCCTGGAATAGCCATAAGTTAGGGCACCCACCAGAGATGTCAGAAACCAGTGTTCAAGAACTTGTTCTGCCTGGTTCAGTTTGATTTCAACTTCCGTTTACTATATCCCAGGTGAAAGCCCTAACTACTAGCTTGCAGGATGGTCTAGGATGGGGCTCCCTCCATCTTTTTTGCTTGGGCAATTCCTCTTTCTATAAAGAAATTAATATGCACTGTGCCAGAGAAAGACCGGTTCTACAGAACAATGGCAAAGTATACCAGTGAGAAGTGGCAGATGTTCAAATTCCTGGCCTAAATTAGGCAGAGCAGAGATTTGAATTTGGGTCTCCCACAATATAGATAATACGTTAGCCATCTCCTTTCTCTTGCCTCACTGGTTTTCATTTCCCATACCCAGCCAGTCCAACCTTCCCCCACCAGCTCTTCATCTGATATCATTCTTTCCCTGACCCCAAGTTCTTCACATCATTTCCTTCCCTGGCTCCCAATGTCCTTGCCTAACCAGGCCCAATCTCTCCATAGCTCCAGTCTCAGTTCCCAGCCATGTGCCAATGTCCTCACACAGCCAGTCCCAACCTTCCTCTACCTCATATCCTAGTACTAAGTTCCCTCTAACCCCCATATTGCCATTAGTCTCAAGTGACTCCTGAGTCTTCCAGTCTAGCTTCATTCAAATCTGCCAGCTCCTCTCTTCTGTTTGGAGTCATTAAGTTAGCACTGAGAGAACATGGAGGGAAGGTGGAGGGCAGACTTCCTGGTCTTTGTTCTAGTGTTAGCCATGACTTGGCCCAGTCCAGAGCAACAGATAGGAAAAGTACTACTCAGCCCCATGTTGGAGCATGCTTATTCTGGGCATATCTGTTAAACACTACTGAGTCTCTATGTAGCATATGAACATTGCTATTTTTCATAGGCTTATAATTTGACCACATTTTGATATTTTTTGTAAGGATGTCAAGAAGCATATCAATGATATCAAATACAGGAGGGCCACTGGCATTTATAAGCTAAACTATTATCAGCCTTTTAAAAATAAGGGTAAAATATATTTCTCCTTAGCCTCATTCTTGGAAACAGTTAAACTGCTGTACCTGAAATTTCCTGGAGAAATCAACTTGAGGCATATAAAACTGCTAAAATTGCAGTCAAAATTTGGCAGTTATCAGCAACTGAAAACAAATGTTTACAACAGCCAACATTCATAATAGGTCCTACCTATTACACACACATATACAAACACACACCTAAACATGCTCCTTGGTATTGTAGCAACTGAGATGATGGTAGCAGTTGCATTTTAAATACCTCTACTAAAAAGATTGTATGTCCCAAGGAAAGATGTCGCAGTTGTAATGGCTGAAGTTTGCCATTGTACCTGGGTGAACAATTCAGTGAACAACAGATTTAAATTTATTTTTTTTTGCATATTAATGGATGAATAGGTGAACATGGAATTTTCTGAAAGATAAAAGTTGGTGATAGATTGATAGGTATGAAATTATTTTTAGCCTGTGCAACAGATAGATGTTTTTCTTGCTGCTATGATCATTCATCTAGTATTAGATATTCATGACTCAATATGTTTATCAAATGGATCACTATGACCATGTTTCTGTTTCATGACTGGATGGCCTCCCTTTTATAATCAACTTTCACTTTTGCTCAAAACAAATTGTCCTTCATCTTTTAATTTAATGATTAAATAAACTTTGGCCACCAGCCTAAATTCAGTTACATGAATGTTCATATGAACAAAATTTATCAAAGAGCAAATAAAAACAGTCAAAATGAAATTTATTTAGCAATCATCAGATATTTATATAAATTTTCTCATACAATTCCATTTGCTAGCCAACATCTCGTGCATGAGTTTTCAAAAGCAAGATTATAAGAAAGTCAAGTATACATTTCAAATTTACAGTAGTCCAGTCTAAGAAAAGCAAAAATTACACACTGATAAATGGTAAAAATACAAATGAAAACACAGATTCATTAAAACCATATTCACTAGAGTGGAATGAGAAACAACGTTACTGTCTCACAAAAGTTTTCATGATTTAACCAGGGATAATCCTGGTCTTGAGCAGAAGGCTGGAATAAATTACCTCATTATAATTTCCATCCCTACTTACCTATGATCCTATTATTTCAAAATATTTTTAAATTCTGCATTACAGCAAAAATGAGACTTCTTAAAGTTTTTCACAAAGAAGAAGAGACAGGGAAGAAAGCAAACAAGTGAACTGTCACTCTGCAGTGGTTTGGATGCTCACCTGGATGTAATATATCTAGGTTCAAATCCTTGCTCTTGAAGAACTGGAGCAGAGACTTGACCTTGGGTGTACTATATCTCATTTGAGTGTCCTTAGCACAAAGGGCACTGAATTGGCTTCCTTCTGTCTTTCCCAATGAATATTTATGCCTTTATACAAAGCTCCAATTAGGGAGACTCAATTCAAAATAGTCAACTACCAATATGTATGCTGAGAACCTGGCAGAATGTGAATTTAGGCTTTTTTAGGTTTTTGTATAATCCTTAACATTACTTAAAGATTAACATTACATGCAAACACACACACACTTTTCATAAATTCCTCAGAGAATTCAATGGTGAAAAATAAATTTAAAAAAATACCAGTAAATATAATGGGTACTTTAGTAAAGATCAGGTTCCCTTTCCCCAACTTTAAAAAACCCACCTAAGCAGCTGTTTAAAAATTTCAGCTTTACTTATCCAAAGGTGTATTCCCATTTACATTATGACCTAGAAATAACAAATCTAATGCTAAACCTTAACAGGTACAGGATAACCCCAAATCTGTACTTACACTTATTTTCTCTTAGAAATACTTCTGCTGTTAGGATCTCTGA